TAGAAATATGTTAAAAATCAACCCAAAACATTCCTCCTGAATTTTCTTAAAAATATAGAAAAAAAGAAGAAGATCAATATCTCACAAATTTAACTATATTTCAACCAAATCGTATTATTAATTATAAAGTTGGCCTTTAGATCACAAAGAACTTTTAAGATTTGGGGTCCGTCTTAATAAGGTCAACCTTGTTAAGAGGAGTGTCTCAATCCTTTATATATTGGTCATTGTTTCGGTATTTTACCGATGTGGGATTATATTCCCTTAACATGTCCCCGCAAGATGGTGGCTCTTTTGAGCAGACCAATTTTGAAATCCGTGTGCTCATTTTTAGAGACTTAATCGGATCGAATCGCTCGTTGGAACTTAATGGGCTCTGATACCATTTTAAGACTTAGGGTCTATCTTAATAAGGTCAACCTTGTTAAGAGGAGTGTCCCAATCCTTTATATATTGGTCGTTGTTTCGATATTTTATCGATGTGGGATTATATTCCCTTAACAAGAACTCCTTGGAGAGGGGTTTAATAAATTGTTGTCAATTTTTTTGCAACTCAGTTCGAAAACACTTAAGAACTTGCTACAAACAAATCCAGAAGGACCAGAACAACAAAAGTAACAACTCATGTACAAACGCACTAAATATCACACTGCAGTGCAGCAGAACATATTTCCCTGAAAGTTTGTGCTGAAAAATGTTGACCAGTTTTAATATATTTCTTAATTAACTAACGTTATTAGAGTGCTCAGAGGCGTGTAATGAAAATTAATAAAGGCAGATAATACCAAATGGATTTTGCTGAACTGCCAAAAGAAGCTTGCCAGAAGGGGCGACAGCCCCTCACACCGTTGCGGGTCTTACTTGAATAAAAAATTCTGACCCCCATGTGCTTGTGTGTGTTCTGTCAAGTCATCTGTTGGGTCTTCTGTTGCTATAGCACGACCCATACCAAATACAGCTTGGTAAACTTTGAAGAAAGACTTTTATGGCCCCACGAAAATAATCTAATATGAGAATTGGAATATACTAACATTTTCAGGGATGAATCTAGAACTTTTAACATGTGGAATGATGCAATACAACTGTTGACATTGCCACAACGCGGATTACACTATGGTAACCTACATGATTTAAAAACTTTGTTAAAGAAAACCTAAACCTAATCAATTACGAGTTATCCGTATATAAAATATGTAAATTGAACTAAATGCTGGGAATTGAAAAGTTCTTTTAATGGTTATGGACAAATTGACTAGAGACACTAGAAGCTCATGTAATTATCCAAATTTCTCAAAAGAAAATATAACATGACAAATGGGATTTGAACCCAAATCTAACCAACAAAAATTGTGATCTATTGACCTTCTTAAGTCCCCGTTTGCTTTCATTTTTCTTTAAATTCTTTTTTCACAACACATTTAATGAGATCTACGTTTTTTATTAGCTTTTCAATTACTATCAATCTTTTTCAAAATTTACTAATAATATAATTTTTAACTAAATCAAACGTGGGCTAAAAAAGGTGAAAATGATTTTTCACACTATCGACTGTCTGCCATTTTCTATCAGAGGACTCCAATAACTTCCAAGTCAAATTGCTCATGTTCCCCCTTCCAAATTTTAATGTTTAGAATAGTATTTTTTTTGCAGAATGTGTGATCGAAAATGAATGAAAAAGTTTTCGATTTACGTGTAATATTATTTTATGAAAAATTTTGTGGTTGAAAATAAGAGAAAGAAAAAAAAGAAAGAGAATGAGAGCGAAAACGAGGGCAATAATATTGTTTCTATTCGCGTCTGATTGGACAAAGTTTCTTTCACTTGTTGTACTACGAAAGAACACTATTTGATTTTGGGAATGGGTTTTGCTATGAACAAGTCCGCTACAAAAGAGTGGCTCACAATTTTTTTATTGGACATGGGTCCTCCTCTTGTGAAGGGAATATACAACGGGGTATCAATACCGGTGTACAAACAACTTTATCTTTTCGAGAATTGTATAGGAGACAATAATAAATTGACAAATTTTATTATCAACTATGCTATATATGCATTAAGTATGACAGCTTATTTGACATCACGTGAGTTGGCAAATTCGTAAATATTGATTTTAACAACACGTTTTTCAGTCAGTGACCAGAATTTCTAAGCGTGACCCCCATTTTATGAAAATAAAAATGAGTGGAATAATATTTTTTTAAAAAAAGAGTTGTTGAAAAAAATGAAAAGTTTTTGATTTACGTATAATAATATTTTATTGATGATTGTGTGGTTAAAAGTAGGAGGGATAAAAATAAAATGTAATATAATGAAAATTAATGAGGACCAAATGGGGGATAAATTTAAAGAGACTCTCGTTTGTAAGAACGGATGATATCACAATCCCAAGCACACCACGAATTTCCCATAAACTTTGGTCCACTATTTTTTTATGGACTTTACCACATATACATCAAGAATTACATAATGCACAAATGACATTATGTAATTGATTGATGAAGATTATTTAATTTCAACCAATTATATAATCCCACTTGTACATTTGGTAAACCTTTGATGTAACGTTTGATGTACAAGTAGAATAATCATTTTATTATTATTTGCTGTGTAGCACATTTTTGATGAAAATATTTAATTTCGTCTGCAAGTTAAAGACGAATTAAGAGGTCTTATTTATATTTTCTATACACTTAATTAAAGAAGCACTTGATCATAAGAGTAACACGCTTTGAATATAATCTATTAGAAATAATAGAGTTGATCTTCACTAGCCAAGTTCATTGTGCTATGTAAAGATCTAAATGCTTTTAATGTTCAGTGGAACTAACGATGAATCCAATGAAGTAGCGAACAAATTATCCATTTAGTCAACGTCTAAGTCATAGAGAACAAGAGTCAAGACTTAAATTGTCATTGTTTATGAAACATTGATAATTACAAAAATTTAGATATTAATATCGGTAAATTAAATTAATAAATATGTCTAGTATGATGAGTTACATTCAATTTACTCACACCTTTGATTTCAAAGTAGCATTAGAATTTGCTCTAAGTGAAGGTGCCAAAGTATTTGTCAAGGAAGAAAATGACTCGAGTCATAATCCTATAGCGTATGAAGGATTGAAAGACACAACATTCAAATTACACTATCAAATTATCTGAAAGCAATTAAGTGCAATTTAGTACCATCGTCTTGTAGTACTCCAAACTGGTAAGTGTATGTGGTAGGTGATTAAGTTAAAATTTAAGTAATTATATTTATAGATCATGCGAAATATGTGAATAATAAATTAATAATAATTTGTCCTACAAAACGGAGTAAAAAGTTTCATTAATCAATGAACTTTACAAACTGTCACGTTCAAGTCACTCTACTTTGTTATGCTTCTGAGTGGTCACTGAACTTACGAAAAGTTCACTCCATCCGCCATTCCCCAAATTACAGTCTCTTGCTCGTCTGGTATGGCTAGATAGAATCATTCGTTTCAATTAACGCCATCATTTCTTGCCATGTGAAAAAGTGTTATGGACATGATTTCATCTTATGAAAATCAAAAAACACTTCCTACAAATTCATTCCCATCAGAACTTGATATCTCCCAATTGCCTTTCTTCCTATTGCCGTAATAACCATATCGAGTTCTAGGGTTCTTCGATTTCTGTTGGGAATGAATCGTTAGGAAGTGTTTTTTGATTTTCATAAGATGAAATCGTGTCCATAACACTTTTTCACGTGGCAAGAAATGATGGCGTTAATTGACATGGATGATTCTGTTGAGCCACAACAGACGAGCTGGAGACGGTAATTTGGGGACCATTCAGAAGCATAACAAAGTAGAGTGACCATGAACATGATAGTTTGTAAAGTTCGGTGATTAATGAAACTTTGTAGTCTATAAAACGCGTGAATAAAAATTATTTTAATATGTAATGATTAAAATACAATTACCTAGCAACATGTTAGTAACACATACAAAATTGAATCGTTATGTATCTTTTTAATATTTTTCAATCATGAAACTTAGACCGAGATTGAAACCGCTAGTTCAACATGAAGCATGCATATCCTAATGAATGATAAAAAATCATGTCACATCGAGTACGGTCGAGGGAATAACACATGGATTTTGTTGTTTGTATAAAGAGGATGGTTTAGAAGCAGTGCTAAAAGATGAGTTGAAGGGAAATGTTGAGTAAAAAAAAAAAAAAGATTATATATATATATATATCGGCCAGTTTGAGCTCCATTCTAGCTCATTAAATGAGTTCTCAAGAATCTCATCGGTACATTAATTGTTAAAAAATTACAAAATACACTGTGTGTTGTCAGGTCGTAAATTCTTGTAGAAAGCCTGCAAAGTCAAAATGTCAAAAATATTCTCATTTTTTAAAACCAATTTCCAAAATTAACCCTCATATTCATTCACTTTTAATAAATTTTTCACCAATTTATTTGAAGGGTAAACTGGGAATGTATATTCTTGCTCCTGCAAATTTCCCAAAAGTCAAACATGGATTTGTTGAACTCATAATTTCCAACAACTCTATCCTGGTGGTCTCCACTGATGCAATGAATGAGATTGGCCAAAAATGGAGCTCAAACGGCCGTGTGTGTGAGTGTGTGTGTGTCTATATATATATATATATATTTATTTATTTTTTTTTAAGACGAGGAAATCCGCAGTTACTACCTTTCAGGTGCATACTGAATAAACTTTCAAACTGATGCAATAATCTGCAAATCATGCTAATCAAGTAAATCGCACTAAATAAGTCCTGTGTGACAGGCTCGATCGAAAAAGTATTGGTAGTGACAATCGAACTCGTGACCAAATATCTCCGTGCTCATCTACTCCACTAACTAGACCATTTGGGGTAAAATTAATTATATTTTAAATTGTCTAATAATAGATTGTCACCTGACATTATGCAAGTCATTAGGTAAGACTTTATAGTCTATAAGACGTTCATCAATTTCGTGGAAGCTCATGCAGTTCAATTTCCCGAATGACTCTCTCTCTCTCTCTCTCTCTCACTCTCTCTCTGCCAATTTTTAATCCACTGGTAAATGTAATGAAGACGCTATCACGAACAAATCGGATTACCTCTACTTTCTGTTAGTGTAAAAATAGTAATTACCATAAACACAATCAGGAACAAATGCACCAAGAATTTTCAGAGCGTACATTTTCTGCATGGGCTTTTGATTTGATTGATTTTCAATTCATTTTTTCAAATTGGAGCCAATAATTTTCTCCTCGTCTTTTTCCGTTGAGTGGTGGCCACGCTGAAGCGGCGGTGCCATCTCTCTTCCGGCTGTGTCCCAGCGGACGCCGCCGCCGATATGACGACTGGAAACGATTCTCATACGCCGCCCACTGCTGCCGAACCACAGCTTGACCCGGAGGCTAGCGTCATCGACGTTGATGCTGCTTCCGCCAATGCAAAAGGCTGGGCAGCCGATGAAGAAGAGTACTCCGATCCTTTCGACATTGGCAACACTAAAAATGCGTCCCACGAATCGCTCAAGCGTTGGAGAGTAAGTTAACGATATTAGTGTATTAGAAAATTTTTCTATTCCAATTTTCGTACATTGTATTCAATAATTCGCGGTGTTAGCCTCTTTCTTTCTTTCTTTCTTTCTTTCTTTCTTTCTTTTTTTTTTTTTTTTTTTTTTTTTTTTTTTTTTTTTTTTTTTTTTTTTTTTTTTTTTTCAACGAACAGAGCTGGTGATGAATGATTAATAAATTTTACTTAACTGTTTTAGCTGCCTTTTTCCGTTTCATATTTGTAATGTGTACTTGTATTGTTTTCTGAATTTAGTGTCGCGAATGGATTATTGAAAGCATGCAGCTAAATGTTTATCAATCTGAAGGCTTAAGTACGTGCACAATTTTCATAAATTGATAGAGGCAAGATGATTAGTCATAAGCGTGATGTTTCATTGAGTTTCACTGGTTTGTCATATCAGTTTTGATATCCACTGAATTTTGTTAAGTTGAAATTCCATCCCTGGAACAGAAGAATATTTTAGCCAAGAATTCCATTATGAGTTACCAACAAAATGGTTCATAGTGATGCCGCTCTGACCAAAATATTTGTTCTAGGCGTGGACATTCATGTAAGAGTTTGATATCTACAACTTCAAATGGACAACGGCATTAAGTTTTTCTTTTCTTTTTTTCCAGGCAAAATTTGCCTTGGTTTTCTTCTTGTTTCTATTTGGCTCACAATTTTGTGGGTAAAGTTGAAAGATTGAGTGTCATTCTGATTATTTTTCTTATTTATTTTTGACTCTAGCTTCCTTTGCCTTTTTATCTTCTGCTTGCGTTTCTCTTTTCGTGATCAAATAAGAAGTAAAGGTTTGTGAAGTTAACGATTGCCCCTATTTTTCTCATTCTACTGCCGTAGCTTAATTATCATTTCTTTACTTAATGACTACGTAAAATTTGTTTCTGTATATGGATGTTTTAATGTTATCCATTCTTGTAAGACAGCGTTACTAGTATATATTTTTGATTTGTGCATATCCGGAATCATTTACAGGAAGCTGCACTTGTTCTTAATGCTTCACGTCGGTTCCGGTACACATTGGATTTGAAAAAAGAAGATGAAAAAGAACAACGAAGAAGCATGATAAGAGCACATGCTCAAGTCATACGAGTAAGACATTATTCCTAGTTGGTCTCAATTTTCTTCAAAATCAAATATTAATTTTCGAAATTTCTTGTGTAGGCTGCATTGCTTTTCAAGTTGGCAGGACAGCGAGCAATCGGTATCTACTCGACTAATTTTCCTTTTTTAAGTAGTTCTTAGAATGACTATAGCTTATTTATGTAGTTTATCTATAGATTTTTGGTTAATCTATTTTGTAAATTAATATCCATTTTCTGCAAGAACCTTGACTTATTTTTTGCTCATTTAGTATTGGGTACAGCAGTGACTCCTCCAACTCCCAATGGGGATTATGGAATTGGTCTCGAAGAACTTGCGTCAATGAGCAGGGACCATAATATTTCTGCACTACAACAATATGGAGGGGCAAGTCAATTCTATTTCCTTTTCTTTTATATTTTTTTGTTAATTATTCAAGGATGTGTACTGAAATATGCTTACCATGCCATTTTCTTCAGGTTAAAGGATTATCAAAGATGCTAAAAACAAACACAGAAACTGGAATTGTTGGTGATGATGAATTACCACAACGACGGAATGCCTTTGGGTCAAATACATATCCTACAAAGAAAGGACGAAGTTTCTTGGTATGCAGTTTTGCTTGGGGTGTCATTCTTCATATGTTTTACAGTAACTTTTTCTAAATATTCATCTCATTTTATTTAGAGGTTTCTTTGGGAGGCTTGGCAAGATTTAACCCTCATCATCTTAATAATAGCCGCTGCGGCATCATTGGCTCTTGGCATAAAAACAGAGGTGAGTTTGAGATGCTGTAGTATGTTCATTTCTTGTATACATACATACATACATACATACATACATACATACATACATATATATAGATTCTCCTTGAGATGTTTGTATAAAGAAGCACATGATTTGATTAAACTACATAAGATTACATATATACATACATACATATATGTATGTATGTATATATGTAATCTTATGTAGTTTAATCAAATCATGTGCTTCTTTATACAAACATCTCAAGGAGAATCACATGGACCTTCGCTCTTCCTACTGAAAGTTTTCTCTTTTTATTCCACACAAGTGCCATCTCTCAACCATGCCATGCTGGCACAGATGTCAGAATTACCTGAATCATTGTTCTGAGGACTCTTTCTATGCATTCTAAAAATAGTAGTCTTAGATCTGAAAGCGGGTTTGTTTTAATTCCCAGACAACCAATTCCATGTCATTTATATAAGTCCAATCTACACAAATATGATTTACGACCTGTATTGCCTTTTCTATCTACTCCATAAACTATGATAAGTACTTTCATCTCCATTTGATTGGAAGCCTAACCTTTGTGATGCTGACAGTCTAAGTTATCTGTTGTGTTGTTTACCAGGGCCTGGATGATGGATGGTATGATGGAGGAAGCATTACCTTTGCTGTACTTCTTGTTATCTTTGTTACCGGTAAGATTATAACAACTTCTGTTTTCATTTTCTCTCTGTTTTCTTTTTCTAACCCTCCATTTTTTGTAAGTTTAAATATCCATTTTAAATTATTTGATAATTTTCTTTAAAGTAGAGCAAATGGTACAAATCTCAAATAGATAGATAAAGGTTTTTGGTAATATTCCATCTATCTGTCCTTACTTGTACCTTTTATTGGACTTTTAATAAGCTTCTTTTAAGTTGTGTCCGAGATGATGACCAAATTTGAGGCAGTCCAGTGCTTCCTGGAGCACATCACGGAGCAATTCTTTCAGTTTTCTCCCCTTCATTGGAAGAGGAGACAGAAATGTTCCAAATTAGGGGTTCGGTGTGATATTTTCAAATCTGTTCTCCTTCCAAGACAAGATGGGAATAATACTTAGATGGAAAAAAGTCAGTTTCTATTTGGCTTGTCTTCTTGTATCTTGATTTTGGTAGAGAGACAGCTTTTAGTTTCCGCTGATTGACTTGTTTATATGTTATGTTAATAAAAAATTATTTGTTAATGAACGGAGAGATCTGTTATAAATTCTTCATTAAGATTAATGTATCCATTATGAGATCATTTTCAAGGAACACATGTAGTTCTTGCATTTGCTGAACGAATCTAACTACTTATGAGTTGATTCAGAGAACTAATGAGTCATGTAATATATGATTTTGAAGGTGCGGTCCCTTTTCCCGGTTGCGGAACCAGGAACTAACATCAGTGGGCAGAAATTAAGTACAAAATTTTTATGTTTTTTTCATACAAAGCAATACACAATTTTCTGAAATAACTAAAAATTAAAAAAAAAAAAATCGCCAATTTCAAGTAGGGACAGCTGCTTTTCCCCCTCCTCTTTGGGGTTGCAGGAGTGAACTCATATCTTGTGTTACCATGTTTGAATTTTTACTTGCATTCATTAATTGATTCTTCTGTTCTTGGTGCTTAAGGAATAATATTTGAATCGTGTATCCAGATACTTTATATATCACAATTGCGTTTTACATTCTTTTGTAACTTTTTGGTCAGCAACCAGTGATTACAGGCAGTCACTCCAGTTTCAAAATCTGAATGAGGAAAAGCGAAATGTACAAGTGGAGGTAATACATGCTAAGAATTAATACTAGTTTTAACATTTTATTTTTCATCATTGTTTTTAACAATGTGTCCGCAGGTTATAAGAGGTGGTAGAAGGGATAAGATTTCAATATATAACATTGTCGTTGGTGATGTCATACCTCTCAAGATAGGTGATCAGGTGATGTATGATTTGATTAAGTAGGGTTTGATTTCTTAGACAGTACATTACTTTAAAAAATCTCTCTGTGTATCTTATCTAGGTTCCTGCTGACGGAATCTTGATAAATGGTCATTCTCTCGCCATTGATGAATCTAGCATGACAGGGGAAAGCAAGATTGTAAGCTGGTTATCTTGCGCAGAATATTTCAGATGGTTGATCTTATTTTTCTCAAGTGTCTTGTTACTTTGTAGGTTCACAAAGACCAGAAATCACCATTTTTGATGTCAGGTTGCAAGGTAGCGGATGGTGCTGGAACCATGCTGGTAAGATAGAAGCTTTTGACCTCCAGATTCAACCACATACACCTGGAATGTACTTTCTTTCGGGTGAATTATATTGTAACCCTTTGTTTTGTTCAAGATTAAAAATTGCATGAATTACAGAGGTAGTAACTGGGACATCTCTTGCATAAACCTAAAGAAAGCTCCATCCTATAAGAATGACACCATGCTAGCAGAAGAGGTTAAAAGAGGGAAGTCTAGATCAAAACTAACACGGCCAGTAATGGTTGCTAAGACTCTAATTGCTTGGATATTTTAGCAGATGTAGCAATGAGTCGTACAGAGAGGCAAGGATTCACGCAATCAACCCCAAGTATAAAGGAAATAAGGCTTACTTTTGTTGCTCATAAATTTTGAATATTAACTAACTAGTATAAGTTAACAATAGCACTTAGTTTCTCTAATTTCTGCCAGTGGAATCATAAAAATTCTTTTTTTTTTCTGTCCTGATATGGATTTTTACCTGAGCTGTTAAATGAAAGCCTTCAATCTTGTCTTGACACTTGATCTATATTTAATTGTTGAAAACTCTGTTGATGCTATTTAATATATTCATGCAAGACAATGAAAGTATTTTGCATAAATTTTTATTTGGCTTCAGTGTCCGATATTTCTATTTTCTTCATTTGTCATCTTAAATTCCATTGCGCAGACTCTTTTTTTGAGGCTTAATTAAATATTTATTCGATTGTTAGGTAACTGGTGTGGGAATTAATACTGAATGGGGATTGTTGATGGCTAGTATTTCAGAAGATACAGGGGAAGAAACACCATTGCAGGTAATTATCAAGAAATGTTGCCAATAATTACCAGTAGCTTCTTAAAAGTGGATCACAGCTATTTATGGCTTTGGATGATGTAATATAGGTACGCCTGAATGGGGTTGCCACTTTCATAGGCATCGTGGGGCTGACTGTTGCTCTTTCCGTGCTCATTGTTCTCTTGACCAGGTAAGTTCATCCCTGTTAGTGTTGGCTTCTTACATGGTTCACAGGTTAGTTACCACGAGATATAATTCTCTCAGGTTTTTCACCGGGAATTCAAAAAATGCTGACGGATCTGTTCAGTTTGTCCGTGGGAAGACTAGCATTGGTCAAACTGTTGATGGAGCCATAAAAATTATTACCGCTGCAGTGAGTTCTTGCATTCTGAAATTATTGAATTCGTCAATAATATCTTTTCTATTTACTGACTGCAGTGCTATTTAGGTCACAATTGTGGTTGTCGCAGTCCCAGAAGGTCTTCCTCTTGCTGTAACCTTGACGTAAGTATCATAAAATGTGCTTGTTTTTGGTAACCAATTGCCTTCTTGTTCATCTCCGCTTCAATGTTCGTCGATTGACGTTTTGTCTTTGAAAATACAACAGCCTAGCGTACTCTATGAAGAAAATGATGGCTGACAAGGCTTTGGTATGTACTCAATTTGTTGTACTTAGATATAGATATATAATTGTGCACGCAGTTTCCAAATATTATGCTTTTATCAGTGATATTGTTAACAGTACTGGTCTTCAGGTGCGGAGGCTTTCAGCTTGTGAAACTATGGGATCTGCAACAACCATTTGTAGCGATAAGACTGGAACATTAACCCTGAATCAGGTTGTCATTCAGTACTTTTAGGCTCTTTAGTTTGTTATGAATGAAAATATATAGGTGCCTGTTGTTCATGGTGAATGTTGATAGACTTTTATTCATGTGTGTTGAGTTTAAAATGTAGTGTATAAGTGATTATTACAACTACAATACGGAAACATAAACTCTCAAAGTGTAAAAAACCAAATCAATCGACCCAAAACTTCTTCAACACCACCATTGGAGTGTTCTATGAGTTAAGCTCAGATTTGTGCCACACTGGATCATACACCGTCGTCCATGGGAATAATAATGGATATACTAAGAGAACTGCCGAAGGCAACCAAAAATTTCATTGGAGATATGAACCTCTCCCACTTAGCTCCTCTATATATTTTCTCCATATGTTTTCCAACTCTCCAAGTCCAAAATGAAAACAAGTGAATTCACATATAATTATAGAGCCAAAACCATTTGAATTCAAATTCAAATATTGTGCTATGAAAGGGACATTACTAGTAGGGTAATTGACAACAAGATTAAATTAGATTTATTATGTGGTCCATAATACACATCAACTAGCACAATCCTTTCAAAGTGCTCAAGATCAATAATCATGTGCCAAGTGGATTTAAGTGATCGACCTCACAATGTATTTATTTTTCATTTTTCATTCTTACTCCGAGTAACTAATCTGGTTAACTACACCTTGGTACAGATGACAGTAGTTGAGGCCTATGTTGGGAGAAAACAAATTGATCCTCCAGAAGATGGCTCACAGCTGAATACAGCAGTTTCCTCTCTTCTAGATGAGGGAATAGCTCAGAATACTGCAGGCAGTGTATTTCCATCTAAGGTACTTTTTTTTCCTCCCCCGTGCATGTCTTCTAGCATGAACCCCTGGCTGCAAGATGGTAAGGTTAATCCATTACAATGAGTTACGACATTGGAATTTTGTGAAGGGGAATGGTATTAGTGGTCCTGGTATGGATAGCATGAAAAGAACACCTGATGATCCTTTCCCCATGCATGTAATAGATAATTGGTGTCGGAAGTTCAATGATTTCTACTTCATATTTGAGTGCAAACATTTTACCAACTCTTGGTCACATTCCCAGAGTTGTATTTTCAGCATGGTTTTATATTGATCATTTAGCATCATGTTCCTTTTAAAGCTGCTGATGGCTACTTGCCCGTTTCCTCTTTACTTCATTATAAAATTTATGCGTTGTATATAATGCATGTTCATTTTGTCTTTTTGTTTGTTATAGGACGGTGCAGGGATAGATGTTTCTGGATCTCCCACTGAAAAAGCTATTCTTCATTGGGGTGTCAAGGTAATTCTGGTACCATATTCTAGCAAATATGAATTCAAGTTTCGTTTTTATTGAAACAGATTATCTACGTGATTTCAACTTTGTTATGCAGTTGGGGATGAAGTTTGATGCCGTGAGATCAGAATCTATTATTCTCCATGTTTCTCCTTTTAATTCCACAAAGAAACGAGCGGGTGTTGCATTACGAGTACAGGTACCAGATTTGTTCTACTTTCCTGCTTAAGACTTTGATCTTTGGAAAGTATGATCAATATTTGTATAGATCTTTAGTCTGTAATGGGTGTTCATTAAGAATCAATTTAATGTCACAAAATAGTCTACTGAACTATGTTTCTTGATCTTTCAAGAGAAAATCATGGTTTGAAGACCATAAATTTTCGTAGTATGTAAGATGTCACTTTACGAAGCATTCCATGGACCGTATTATTGCATCCCTCTGCTAGATTGTAAAAATTAATTTTCAGCACATCTTTCTTATTTTATGCAGACTGACTCTCAAGTTCATCTACACTGGAAGGGAGCAGCTGAAGTAATTTTAGCCTCATGTTCACAATATATGGATGCAAATGGTAGCTTGCAGTCTATTGATGAGGATAACAAGGTTAGCACAAGATACAAACTTTTGGCTTAACGAAATTCTTATCTTTACTGAAATTTGATGGGGGGAAAAACAAGACAAGGAAATAAAATTTACGTTGCACAAAGGACGAGTTCCAAAAGCATAAAACAAAGAGGACTGGAGCAGGTCTTCTATTTTCTTCAGTAATCCTTAATATGGAAATAAGAGAAAACACATTACAATGTGCGGATAAAATAGTTTGTCTGAATTTTGGATAGTAATTGCACTTGGTATTATAGGTCTTTTTCAAGGATGCTATTGAAACTATGGCTGCAAAAAGCTTGAGGTGCGTTGCCTTTGCTTATAAAACATGTGAGACAGACAAGGTTCCAACTGGAGAAGAACAATTGGAGCAATGGACTTTACCTGAAGATGATCTTGTTTTGCTTGCAATTGTTGGTATAAAGGTGGGAACTCTGAAGAATTATACGAATTCTCATTTTCAAGGCATCATGTAACTTTGACGTCTTTGCATCGAGTAGATATTACACTTCAAATATATTTTTACATAAATAATTTCATATATGAGAGTGGAACATACCTTTGTAAAGTCTCCAAGCCAACTCTGCGTAGCTTTAAACATCTCACCTAAGGCAGTAAATTTGTTGCTGCCATGCACAATATATATATATATATATATATATATATATTTTTTTTTTTTT